TTTGTTCTATTACTTTTTACAAATTCAACTAGAATACAACTGATTAAAAGAATTAGCTTAAGCATTTTCTTACAATAGTACAACATATCTAAGAAATTGAGAATGTAAACGACTGAATAAGAACATTCCTGAGAGAGATATACATTGAGGAATCCACAATAGTTAGCCTTCAACATTTAGCAATGTCCAAGTAGAAAAAATTCATCATTTTCGATATCCCTTTTACATATATGGTTCCCCTACTAAAAATATAGTATCGTAGGTCACAAATTTTCATAAATTTCTAAGTATCATAAATGGAAATTATCTATCTAGAGAATTATCACACGCATCGAACTTGAAAGTGCAATTTCATTCTAATTTTGACTTTTAAGATACAAACACTCCCTACATCTCTCTTGATGTGAGTGGCTAGGAAGCATACATGTACGCCTTCTTAATGAATGAGCATGCCGCGAAAGGCAATGCGCGAATTTTGGGGGCGGGCTTTGTAGTCGATGTAAAGTTAGTCAAGTTCGAGTGAGGGTAGAACCTGACTTCAGTACTTCTAAAATTCTCCCAATTTTTAACTATATGAGGAAAGTGTTGAGATATTTCATCGAGACAATTCAATATTGAAAACCGAAGAGTAGTTGTTCAATTCAGCCAAACTTTCAAGTAAGAGGACTTACAGTTAGAGGCATAGGTGTTGAAGATGGAACCCATAAATATTGTGTTCGAGGCCATAAATGTAGAAAATTTTCGAAAAATTTAGAACATGCCATAATGTATCATACTGTGGGTTTCACAGTGAAAAATCATTATTTCCTCTACATGCCTCCCGATATTAGATTCCACAATATTTTCTCATCGATAGTATTTTGTTTGAATTTATGAATTAAAAATTCATTTAAGAATAATTTAAAATTATCATTTAATAATCAACAGTTGTTTACTCATTATACCTTTCGTTTAGTTTTGTTTTGAACGAGAAACTACTATAGAATAGAGTCTCTAAAATAAAAACAGAATTTATGAGAGTTGAAGTTCTTTTATCATCCCTATCTAATTGTATACGTTGATTATCATATTTACTTGGTGACATATACGAAACACGTGTCCTGACTACGGATAAATGTTAACATATCCACGATCACGATCACGACAAATACAAATATACAAGATGCATTGAGCAATTATGCAGACCTCCAGAAGATACTGTATCTCATGTTGAATGTGAATCTTCTGTATTGTCATTGAGTAAAACTCAAAGAAGTTTATTAGTTGATAATGGAAATGGAGACAACAAAGTGGCATATATCTTTTGCTAAAAACATGCGAAAGATTTCATCGATAGGCAACAATTGAGTTGCCAGTTAGGACGTTCTATTTGTATATTTTACATTTTGTATGATATGTCTTTCTCCTATAGTTCCAATCGATATATGAAATCATTCTTTTTTTCTTACTTTAAAGAAAAATTTCTAGGTTAAGAAGAATCGAATTAATGTTTTTTTTACAAATATGTCTAATGAAAATCAAGCAAATATAATATAATAATACAGAATTTATGAAAATAGAGATGATATTTTGAAAGAAAAGCTTTTCTAATATAGATCTTAAAAATTTTATGTCTTAATATATGAATCAATCTCGTTATTGTACCGATATTAAATCATAAAAATGATAATATTCAAACAGATAACTGACTAAAAGTCTTTAATAATTATTAAATACTAGAGATTCTTTTCTTCTAATTTTTTTCGTTAGTATTTTCAGTTTTATCGATTTTAATTTTTTAATTTTATGAATTATCAGTGTTTTGTTTTAGACATCACAACGCTACGTCACTCTAGCCAAATAGAAAACAATAATTTTAAATTAAAAACTAAAATAAAACTTAAACACCAATTATTGTTTTTATTTGATGATTTTTATCTACTAATTCATGTGTTGTTTATTTCATTCTTAGGATTTGCCAAAATCTTTTTCTATTTAGGTTTTTAAATAGAGCATTTGTGATTGTTACTTTTTATTAAGTTTATTTTCTTGTCTTCCAAATGTTGATAAAATCGTGAGAGTTGATGATGATGATGATGAAATAGAAGAAGTCAGAGAAGTAGATCATTAAATATCTTTTTATTTTCTTGTTTTTGTGTTCAACTCAGGAGCATAGTCAGGATTTTGCTAAGCAAGATGAATAGTATATGTAAATAAGTTCATTTTTTCTTCAATGAAACTCAACTAATTAATCATGAATCAGATTTTTGCATGTCAGAAAAGATTCTCTCATCATTTTCTCAGCGGTTTGGGATACTATGTCAAATAAAATAAGCCGTTAGTTTAGATTCATCTTTGATTAGCGTAAAAAAAACCAAAAACAAATATTTATCAAGTAGCATGAGGGTGAACTTGGTCTTGATCTTCTACTTGAAGAGGTGTGTGGGTGTGTGTCGTTGCGAATGTACTTTCCATGTGCATATAGAATTCTCTGTGTGAAAACAACATAATGAATAACAAAAAATGCGTTGAAAAATCTTAAAAAATATTATGTAGAGTGAAAAAGGTTAACGTGTTTTTCACATCTAATAATGAAAGGTATTCAAGTGTGATGCGCTTTTTTTCAATCGGATGCATACTAGTTTGTATAGCTCGATGAGCTGATTCTAATAGTATAAAGCATTCTTCTCCATGGAGCCTTAAACTGAACAAAACCAATCAATTCTACTCGTGAGAGATCACGTTCGAGATATTGAATACTGGAATTTTACACGCATTAGAATATGAAAGATGAAACATAACCATTGAGCGTCTTACTTTTAGTTGTATATTGTCATGTCATAGACTAAAAACTGTCGAACAATGTTTTAATCTTTGTGTTACAATGTTGTGGTCACTACACCAATGCATTATCTACACTTTATGCGATGAAAAAAGTCAAAAATTCGGATAGAGCATAATTTTATACATCTGTAATTTAAGACTTACTCGCTCTTATGATCTGAGTTTACACGTTTTACACGGAGAAATCCAGAATCGAATAATGTGTAGATAATGCAAATGTGTGCTGATAAAAGCATTGTGACATACAGATTGGGACATCATGGGGCAGTTTTTAGTCTATTAAGTAATAATTTATAGCCAAAAGTAAGAGGATCAACAATTCGGTTTCATCTGTCGAACGCTAATGCATGTAAAACTTTAGTGTTCAGTGTCTCAAATGCAGTCTCACGCGAATAGAATTGGTCAGTTATGTCTAGTTTAAGATTCCATGGAGAAGAACGCTTTATATCATTAAAATCAGGTCATCGAGCTCTACAAACTGGTAAAAAACTAGATTCAAAATTGCTTGTCACACTTGAATACCTTTTCCTGTAAGAACATTCTCACACGTGAGGACGATGATCCCTCGTGCTCAAACAGCTCACCTATTCATTTCTAAAGACTTCATCGAATTTAAGTGACTGTAGGAGTGCAAGGTCCTATATACTTAAAAAGTGAACAATATCAATCAGTTTTTATGTCATTATGCTCACTTCCACTTTGAAATACGGTAGGAAACGGTGAATGCATATCGAAGGTTTCACGATTGACTTGCTCAATCTGCTATGTTTTAATCTGAGCATGTTTCGCAATCATTGTGTTTTCACGGCCGTCGTAAACGGCGGTAGTTTGTATCAAAAGTTTAGGACGGTCATTATTTGTCTTAAAGCGTCGGTAATCATCTGCCGGTTTTTTACCGCAATTGGCTGCTATACGACGGTTTATGGTCGAGCACGATTGATCTGAGACAATGAGTCTTTTTTTTTTGAAAAATATTCAATCCAAAGAACACATATTGGTTGAGATATGAGGAAAACACTAGAACATCTATTTATTTGTTCAAATCGTACATTTATCTACTACGGATTTGTTTATATTTCGTCACATTTGCTTCGACTTTCTTTACAAAAAATCAATAAATGCCAGCAACAAGTTTGCATTGCTATAGGTCAGAGATGAGTAACTTCAGCTTCAAAAAATTCATTCCTTTTTTCCGAAATCTTATTTCAACTCAACCTTTAGGTATTTTTTGTAAGACTCCTGCCAAAATGATGACTGGAAAAAGTCGCACTGGACTTGATCTTATCTTAAAAAGTTTAACTTTTTTGCACCGGCTTCTCTAATCACTGTTTCACTTTCGTTTTTTCTCATTTTCAGTGAAATTGAGTAGACAACAACTAATAAAGTAGAATACGTCGATCTACAATAACGACAACACCAATGTTCAAATGTTCGTTTTCTTCTCTTCCAATGAGATGAATGATCTAAGAGAATGAAAAAAGCCTCCATTGTGTTTAAAACAAAACAAAAAATGATAGGCAACTTAAAGAACATCATTTTCGAGGAATATCTAAAGCGTACAAACCATTGACTGATTATACTTGCAATGTCTGTCTCGAGTTGTACGAAATATTTCCTTGTTATATTGAAATAGTACATTGACGTATCCGTTACAAATTATTGAAAATTTTTCCTTATATTTCTTTTTCAACCTAAAGTTTTACATTATGATTCCTGCGCGAGATGAGATTTGTACTGTAAACTACAGTAGAACGCAGTCGGTTACATTCGTTAGATACAACATAAACGTGTTTGTATGGTGGTTCGATATCTTCGAACAGTTGTGCGAAATTCTTCCTGATACAATGTCGATGGAATAACAAACACAACAAAAGTAAGCATTGGCGGTATGAGTGAAATAAAATATCCAGCTAGATATAACCATGACTCATGAGCTGATTTCATACAACCTGATACGAAAGAAATGATCAAACGTGGAAAAGCCAGAATAACCAAAACAAATGGAGAAATAAGAAGATGTTTGTGTTGCCAAAATTGATCAACCAAGTGTTCTCTATAAGTTTGCTGAGTTTGAACAGATGCTCGTCGTCGAGCAGTTGTGGTAATGATGACAATAGCCGAGATGACATTCATGATAAATGGTACTAAAAAATGAAGAGCCTGAATTGTTGCATTGAAAACTTGAACACTGGGCGGATAAGTAACAATACACCAAATTCTCTTTTCATCATCATCTTCATCATTCATTAATTGCCGATAAATAGGATCATGTATAGCTGTAGCAACTGATACAAAGATCAGAACGAGAATCACCACTTTGGGTACACGCTGACTGCTTTTCTTGTTAAAATTGACACCTCGAATCGTAGCAATCGCTCTTTCAGCAGCCACAAATGCATTCAACCATTGATCTATACTGAGTGAGACTCGTAGAAGAAAATCAATCGATATACATTGAACATGCAAAAATAATCGATTCACAACCAATCCCATCTGTGTACAAATAAGAATCCAGAATTTCAACGTAAATATAATCATCGTCAAAAGCGTAGTAACCGATGAACCTAATAAATAGAAGCCACATCCAACTTCCCATAGTTTCTTATTATTGAATGTAATCAAAGAAAGAATCCCATTGATCACTCCTGCAATAAACATGACTGTAGTCAATGTCATACTGATTTTTACAGCAAATGTTTGATGTAAAAGATTCACATGAGGTAGAATATGATAACCTAGAATAGCATCAAGTGAAAGACCAAAATTACTCGTACTAAATTGACATCGTTTGCCATAGAAACATTTCGGACATACACATATCGATGTTTGAGCACAATTGGGACTATCCTGAAAGCAACGAGCGCCATTTTCACAGCCACTTTGACCCGAACAATCGAATTTCATCTCATGTTCGAATTCAATGCAATTAGCTAAATATTGATGACCATATTTTTCACATAAACAAATATGAATATCATCATAAAAGCAAGACAATGGGTGATTTGAACGTTTTTGTCGACATGGCAATTGATAATATTTAATAAGACGAACAAGATGTAATTGAACAATCGTTTCGTTGAACAATTCACTGATATGTTCACATCGATCCGATGGATTTATTGTCTTACTGATAGTTGTCGATCGATTGTATGTCTGTTGTACAACAACTAAATAGTAATTATGGTTGAAAATTTCGACAAAGATCATGTGAAATGGACGTGACCAATAAACAGTAATCAAATCTTGATTGATCGGAATTGTTTTAAAAGTAGTCAAACGTTCTGGTGGAGCATCGTCAATCACTTGAATGAAATGAACAAGCATTGATTGTGATAGAGAAATATCTTTATGAAATGATATGATGATTTTAGTATCTACAATCTCACATCTATCTCCAGTAAATCCTTTCGGACAGATACATGTATATTTCTTCGTAGATTGAGCATATTCATCGATCGGAATACACAGACCACCATTGTGGCATATAGCATTTTGATCTGTTTGACACACCGGATCGGTCAAAAAACATCGAGATCCGAATCGATCAATCGGACAAATATAGATCGATTGATTATTAGCCGATACACCAACGCATAGAGAATCAGATGAACATGAACAATAATGTGGAATTGTGCAATATTGTCCGGACCATCTTTGATAACATCGACAGAAAGAAGTGGTAGTTGGTTTATTGCTATGTTTGACACATTGCCCAGTCAAGCAAAAAAATCAGAAAACGCGTTTAAACACTATAAAAATCGTGAACGTTTTCGGATGCTAATCGCGGTTCCCATTTGTGACCCAGAAACGTCCAAAAAGAACCAACATGAAA